ACAACAATGAACGATACCAAACACCCACACACCAGAAACAAACATGCATTTGCATTGAACACATATAGATCACTTTCTTGATTATTCTGGAAGCAACATAAAACAACTATAACATACAACAGTATAAGTACAACTTATACTATATTAGGTATTATAGAAAATCAAATATCTTAGAGAGGAGAATATATATAGATTATAACAAACCACCTCACCATTTTATATAAGGGATTTGACCATTATATAAAAGATTTGGTATCTTGAGGGCCTGGGAACTAATCCCCATATAGAGACTAAGAGAGAATATATCAAAAGCTTCTTCAAATCTCAATTCAGATGTCCTTAGATGAGGCCCTCATTCATATGACCTGTGAGTGCCAAGTACTTTTAGTTCTTAGCTTGATCAAAGTAGAAATTTCAATATAATTGAAATGCAGCTACTATAGGAGTTGGTATCTGTTTACCTTCAATAGCAGATTCCTAGAATCCTGCCAGTGATTAATGAGTGGGTTCCAGCGCCTCCAGACCACAGCAGCTGCCCCTATCTGCTGTGTAGATTACAGTCATTCTACGAGCTGCAAAGCCACACATCACTGTGACTGATACATGAAACCACGTCTCATAGTGGCACATTTCTCTAGTGGTAAAGAATCTTGAACATATTTCACACATTTATCAATTTTTTAATATCTCTGGAGAAGTATTAGCATTTTCTCCCATTGTTTACCTTAGTTATTTTTTTATTATTTACTGTGAGCCAGTTGCTTAGAATTATTTTGTTTTGGTAACTGTAATAGCAAGGAGAATGGCCAAGAAGACAGAAAAGGTATACTGGCTTTATAGGAAAGCAGAAAATTAGGGGCCAAGACATGGATAGAGATACAAAGGTAGCAGCCAACAAGGAGGTCAGTTATAAGAAAGCAGAGAGCCCCGCCCCATTTTATGCCTTCCTTCCCACCTAACCAACAAGCTTCTAAACATGGGAGCCTGGTGTGAGAGCACCTGTGCATCTCAAGCTCTTTAAAAACATAGCCAGGCATGCTGTGCATGCCATGCACTTGTACGGCCAAGGCAGGGGGCTCATCCATCTGAAGCTAGCCTGGAGTCCCTAGGGAGACCTTGTTTAATCAAACAATGACAGTCTGAAGTCCTGCTCATCACTGGGCTCCCTGCATACATGTAAAGAGATTCCTGATATTTCTTTCACTTTAAGAAAAGTCATTCAGGGCTGGAGAGATGGTTCAGAGCACCGACTGCTCTTCTAGAGGACCAGGGTCCAATTCCCAGCACCCACATGGCAGCTCACAACTGTCTGTAACTCCTGTTCCAGGGGATCTGATACTTCACACAGACATACATGTGTGTATGTACTTCACTACATACATGTAGGCATAACACCAAGGTACATAAAAGACGGGGTTGGGGGGGAAGCAGGGTAAGGTCACCTATATGATCAACACAGTACAGGACTGGGCTCCAGCCTTGGCTGTGCCAACTCCCTGCTGTGAAGTCTCAGAGAAGAGACTGCCACCTGTTAAGAACAGCTCCTCAGCAGCCAGCACCACATGCACCTTGGGGTTCAACAAGGCAGCCACTGTGAACATGCCTAGCACAGGTTGGCTTTGGAAACATTTTAGTTTATTTCATTTTATGAAATATCTGCTTGTCTATACATAGCTTTAATGATCAGTGTAAAATGTATCATGTGTAAATTTCAGTTCTTTATTTAATTTTATTTTATGTGCCTTGTTTTGCTTACATGTATGTGTGTGTGAGGGTGTCAGATCTTGGAGTTACAGACAGTTGTGAGCTGGCATGTGGGTGCCGGGAATTGAATCCAGGTCCTCTAGAAGAACAGCCAGTGCTTTTAACTACTGAGTCATTAAATTTTAATTTTTTAGTGACCTGTTTTTATCTCAAAATTTTCGATGTTAGGAGCTGATGATTTAAAGGTGTGTGTGTGTGTGTGTACAGCAAAGAGTGATCCCAGTGTGAGTTCCTCATGGTAAACTTTGGTTCCATTGTGTCTGTAGCTCTGCCTCTACTACACAGTACTTTGGAGTGCAGCTTCCATACTGGGTGGTTTTAAACAACTAATTTCATGTTTCAGCACCTGTTTCCTTTCTCTTACTACTGCTTTCACAGGTGAGCTAAAGCAATTCCTTTCCCTGCCCTTCCTGGGCAGCCGTACCAGCTTCTGGCCTTGGACACCAGCACCCAAGAATCCCACAACTTGTCTCAGTAACATCCCTGGTTCTAAGGCCTTTGGGCCTGGCTTCTGTGATTCTTCAGCTTATAGACAACCTATTGTGGGGCTTCCGAGACTGCACAATCAGGTAGGTCAGGTTCCCCAGTATCCTCTTCACACAGTCATCTACGGATCTCTCTTCCAGGAGAACCGCCAGTAGGTTCGTACTTTCATTCTGGGTTTGAAAAGCACACTTTTCTTTTTCTTTTTTTTAAATATGTATTTTTATTTTCCATTCAAAAATTTCCACTTTCTCCCCTCCTCCCATACCCCTCCCACTCCCCCTCCTCCTCCTCCCTTCCCTTCCAGTCTTAAGAGATGGCAGGGTACCCTGTCCTGTGGAAAGTCCAAGCCCCCTCCCCGCTCCATCCATGCCTAGGAAGGTGTGCATCCAAATAGCCTAGGGTCCCAAAAAGCCAGTACATGCAGTAGAAACAGTCCCAGTGCTTCTCAATGGCTTCTCAGTCAGCCCCTCATTGTCAGCCACATTCAGAGAGTCTGGTTTGATCAGATGCTCGTTCATTCTGAGTCCAGCTGGATTTGGTGAGCAAGGAAGTCAGGACCGCAAGGGGTTGGTCCACCCACTGAGACAGGATGGGAGCACACTTTACTTTTTCAAGTTGTACATAAGCCAGGAACACAATCCTTTTCTTACCACCCATTAAGGCTTTAATAAGAACTACAAAATCAACATCAAGAACAAAAACTCACTTGGGGATTATGAGTCAGGGCCTGGGGGCTCGCATCTGTAATCTCAGCATTTGGAGGACGAGGCAGGAGGATCATTCCAAGTTTGAGACTAGTAAACACTGAAGCCATACTCCTTGGATCCAAACCCTAGTTCTACCTTTATAGGAGTAAAATCTGAGGGGATAGAGTTATGTGCCATCACAACAGGTTACGGCCAAGCTCTTTTATATAAGACCATTTACATTATGCTAAAAAATGTGTCCAAATTCAGGTTATCTTTCTTCTCTCAATTAGACCATGGATAGGTTCCACTGAAATGGTGACAGAAATTTATTTAGAATACCAGAAAATGAGGAAGATGGGAAGGGAAGGAATAAAGGGGAGAGAGATAAAACAAGAGTAGGGGATTCAGTTATTCTTGGATGAACTGATACTTAAAAATAAGCCCAGACGACAATCAGACATACATGGAGGCAAAATACACACACACACACACACACACACACACACACACACACACACACACGTGTATCCACTCTGTTCCTAGGCACCAAAAGTGAAGAGATTGTTCACAGACAACTCTAAGAGACCTAAAGTATTGAGCTTTATTTGAAAAATTTTTTGGCTGTGAACCATTTCTTCACTATTGGTGCGTAGGAACAGAGTGGATGAAGAATGGCTTCTGTCTGCAGCCTACAAGACAGCCTTGTTGGTACTACCAGACTCTGCAAAGAAATAAAAACTGTCTTCCTTTCCTCCCTCCCTCTCTCCTATTTCTTCTGTGGATTGAATTGAGGTTGCTACAGAAATCACGTTGTTTTAAAATGTTTTTCTCTAACATGGCAGTCCTCATCCTGTGGTCGGGATCCCTTTGAGGTCGCATACCAGATGTCTATATTACAAATCATAACAGTCGCAAAAGTATAGTTAAGAAGTAGTAATGAAATAATTTTATGGTTGGGGTTACGACAACATGAGGAACTGAATTAGAAGGTCCCAGCATCAGGAAGATTGAGAAACACTGCTCTATGTGTCCATAGTGACACAGTGTCCCAAAAAAGTAAATTAACTTGTATTTAAATGAATGGATTTTCAGTGCAGATATGCATTGTCTTTTGGAAGAGAACAGGAGTCCCCATGTGTGATTTATTGCTCCCCTTGTTAGTGGGGTCTTGTGTCCCAAGAAGTTAGCTAGTTTGTAGTGGTCTGCTACAATTTCTACTTTTGCTGAAGTAACCTTTCTTTTATACCTGAGCAAATCAGTTCACTTAGTTGGAGATAAAATCTAAAAAGTTCCAATACATACTTTTCTAAAAGCTGAAAGATAAAGAAATGAATTATTTCTCAAACTCCTTCAAGTAAAATAAAACCTCAGGCAGATCTGAAATCATCCAAATGGTGAGTTTCTGGAGAGCTATACACATTTGAAACCACAGAGAGGCAAGGAAACAACAACGACCAAACCCAGCCCACAGTTCTTTCTAACAACTGTGGTCCAGCTTTGGAAGTGACTGGATACAAACCAGAAAGGTACACCATGAAAAAAGGCAAGGACACAGACAGCATGCACACAAAGCAGCTATTGACCTTTGAAGGAAATTAACTTCGTGTCCTTATTTATAAAGGAATGGTCAGCACCGTCACCAATGCAGAACACAACAGAGAGCTTGGTTCAAAGCAGACATGTAAAAAAGATGTCAAAGGCACCTGGTGGGACAGCCACAACTTCCTTCATTTGAGGCAACTAAGTATCTTTTACTAGGAAACAAAGGCATCTTCTCTTCCTGTGTTGCTAAGGTCCCTTCAGTCCAGATCCTAGAAATGCCCAGGGTTGAGCTGCACTAGAAGGAGGGGCTGGCTGCTGCTGTAGTCCTAGACAGCACAGTTCAAGTGTGGTGAGGAAGATGCTGTGCTGTGAGGACCACTCACTGCTGAGCAGAAAGTTCTTCCTGTCTCAGAACTCAAAGCACCTTGTGACCAGGACAGTAGGCAGTCAGTCCTTCGTCTAGGGTAGTGAGTGCAAGCCCTGCTCTTGTCCTGTGCCCTCCCAGTCTAGGATTCTTACCGGTTTGGGGCTTTCAGTGTCAGGCAGGTGTCTGACGTCCACACTGCTGTCTTCCTCACTACTGACAGGTTCAGTGCCACCCAGGTCCTAAGGGACAGTAAAGAAAAGCAGTGAAGATGTCATTCTTCATTCACACTGTCTCAAGCCACACACTGCACAGCTGTGGGGGTAGTGTTCCTAAAGCTACAGCGGACACTGTTTCTGCAGAAGCCATCCTGCCATCTTCCTTTGTAACAGAGAGCCAGTAGACACATCTGCCCATTTGTTTTACTGGCATCAACTCCTGCTGCCTGTAGCGTTCCTCAGGAAAGTCGGCCCCTGTTCTCTGTTCTGGGCTGTCTGTCTGTCTCAGGCCAGGTCTCTTCTTGTCAACAGTTTGTCAGGAACAGGATCCTGGATGATGAACTTTGTTAGTTCTGGTAACAAGACTAAGAAACGTGTGCTGGAAGTTCTTCATCTTTGGCTTTATTTTTCTTTGTATTTTACTACTTATCTGGATGCTTATGCCCATAGTTTTAGGTTTTCTTAAAAAAAAATTATTTATTTATTTATTATATATACAATATTTTGTCTGTGTGTAAGCCTGCAGGCCAGAAGAGGGCACCAGACTGCATTACAGATGGTTGTGAGTCACCGCGTGGTTGCTGGGAATTGAACTCAGGACCTTTGGAAGAACAGACAATGCTCTTAACCTCTGAGCCATCTCTCCAGCCCCTGATTTAGTTTTTACAAGCCAATAGACACTAAAAAACTATTTCCCCCACAGAATTGTAATCATATGTGCCTAGAGAAAAAAATGTGGTTAAACTGATGTAGTCACTAAGACACATGATGTCTTAGGGTTCCTACTGTTGTAGGAGACACTGTATACACAATCCACATGTGCATTCTGAGACTGGGGGAACATGAATCTGGGTATTCTATTGTAACAAATCATGTCCCCACAAATTCACTGCTATGTTAACCATCCATGGCTTTAATTTTCCTCTTTCTCCTTCTGGTTCTATATGCTCAATCCATCTCATGCTCTGTTTAACTTGAGATAGAGTTTCAATTCCTAAAAGCTGAACATTTACGTCCTGAGGTGGCCAATTTGGATGCCAAGATTCTGGTACAATTACTGTTATATCTGCATCTGTGTCTACCAGACCTTCAATGACAATGCCATTTATTCATATTTTTAATTTTAATCTTTGTTCATTTGTAGAAGTTTGCCAAAATACTCGCTTTACGGCTTGTATTGAGTTTTTGTTCTTTCTTCCATAGCTGCTCTATCATCCAGTGCAGTATGGTTTCTTACAATAGGCATCAGGTTCTTTAACTGCTACAGGAAGGAGCTTCATCCATGACAACAGGAAAACGACTGAACGGAATTTGGTATGGGGGCCTGTGAGAGGCCCCTCAAGTGGCTTCCTGATGGCAAAAGGTTACCTTGACTGTTCCTTGTTTATCTACATTCATCATGGGTCTGGGATGGGGGGGATCCATAAATCCTACCCTCCCTGAAGGACTTTGACAGTGTCATTTTGTTGTTGCTCCAGTAAATAACCTCCCACCTGTGTTTAAGCAAGAAACTGTAGACAGAAGTTTCTGTTCCGCCTGATCTCATAGCTGTTCAGTCCCAAGTAAACACAGAGAGGCTTAAATTATAAACTGTTGGGCCTATTGCTCAGGCTTATTACTAGCCCTTACAACTAAAATTAACACATAATGCTTATCTATGTTTAGCCATGTGACTTGGTACCTTTTCCCAGTAAGGCTTTCTCATCTTGCTTCCTCTGTATTTGGCTGGTGACTGCATTTCTGCCTTTCCTCTTCCCAGAATTCTCCTAGTTTGGTCACCCCACCTGCTACATCCACGGCTGTCTCGCCAGTGTAGCAGAAATGCTGACTGGATGGGCAAGTGTTGCTGGAGGATAGGGATCCGCGCTCCTTGGAGTTGAGTTCCTGGCTGCCCCATGGCAATCAGTTGTGGTGTAATGCCACCTGAGTCGCCATTAGTACTGACTCGACCTGGTTGTCCTTGGAGCCATATGTCTGTGTTTTCCCTTGTCTGTGTGTTCTTTGTGATTCTTGCATGTTGCTAACAGATCAGACTATTCCAGGCAGTTGCAGATACAAACAAAACTGCTGAGGACATTTTTGAAATCTGCTCCACTATTAATTAAAGCCTTAAAAAAGTAGCCAGTTCTGGGAATTGCCAGAATCATCATTAGGACAATTCCTTGATGATGTGGAACAAAAAGAGTTAATTTTACTAGGAAAAACCTTAGAAGCTTTAGGCATTTGCCTGAGAAATATGTACAGTTATAAATAGAAGGCCTATGAAACCTTTCTTGTGGGAAGAAAAAGATCTAACCTAAGCTGACAATATCTGAGCCTGAGAATTGAGAAGGGAGGAGAATTGAAGTTAGTGATATAAAGTAAACTTCAGAGAGATTCAAGACTATGTATTAGAAATTTCCTAGCAGAAAGCTTTCTCAGTGAGATAGTAGCCTTTTTCTTTCTCACCCAGGCACACAAGGTCACTTAGCTCAAACCAACCAGCCACCTGCAAGGTGATAAAGATGGTCTAGCTCAAGGGCAGTGATCTCCATGAAGGTAAGAGGAGAGAGTTTGTTTTGCAAAGAGTGAGAAAGCAGAAGTCCTTGTACCCAAGTCAAAGCATCTTCAAAGATTCTTTTTGTGAACTGTTTTATGCTGTTCTTTTCTGTTCTATGATTTGATGATGTATGCCTTTGCCAAGTTCTTTGATTGTAAAAAAAAAATATAATCCTGCACTGAAGTAAGTAAAACACAGCAGCATTTTCAAAAATACATTGAGAGTGACTGTCTGTCAATTTCCTCCACCGTATCCTGATTTCTCCTGTGCCTTCACCCTGATTCCCTTACGGTCTGAGTGGCTCCCCTGAGCCGGTCCGTAGCACCCACCTATACTTCCTGCCTGGCTACTGGCCCATCAGCATTTTATTAAACCAATATGACTGAGAAATGTTTACAGTGTACAAGATCATGATCCCAGAGCTGAAAACTCTCACTGAGCTTAGTGGGTCACACACAACAAGACAGAAAGTAGGAGGGATATGTAAGCAGAAGGGCTTTATGGGAGAGGATACAGCGATAGCAGGGGTGAAAACAGCTGAGGTGTAGTCTATAAATTAAGTGGATGGGACTGTCAAACAATGAAAGGAAGTTTTTTTTGCTTTTGTTTTAAGACAGGGGTTCTCTAGGTAGCCTTGACTGTCCTGGAACTTGCTTTATAGACCAGGCTGGCAAAAACTCAAGAGATCCACCTGCCTCTGCCTCCTGAGGGTTAAAGGTGTGTGCCATCACTGACCGGGCATTGAGAGAAATTTTAAAAAGAAAATTGGCATTGCTACAGAAGCAGATGATTTTAAAGTCTCTGGCCTTAAGAGGGAGGGGCTTAGAATTAGTGTTTGTACTCCGAGTTCCAACTTAACAGGAACAGCCTGAGGTAACTGTATGTACAGTGGGCAATTTTCTAAGTGTTGCTTTCCCACAGCTGCACAAAACAAGTACAGAAAGACATTCAACAATCACCATAGGACTTGGTAAAAAACAAACAATAATTAATAGCGAAGAAAACCTGCTGTGTACTTGTGTGGATGCGGATAACAGAAACACACAGTGAGGTGGCAAATACTCCACAAAGCCCTACAGCACTGGGTGACCCGAGTGTCTCAGTTCCTGGAATGCTGCATCCGTATCACAAATATACAAGAATCACAATAGATATTCTAATGCCTTTCTATATTTCTTGTATGTCAATAAAATCTTGGCATACGAATGCATTTAAAGAACTAATTCCGTGTAGGAAAGTCACCCAGAAAAAGAGGCACCCAGTACAACCAGTAGACATAGCCTCAACCCTGAGCAGCAGCAATCTCTGGTCCACACAGCTCATCACACCACATGCAGCAGCTATAATTCTGAATGTCTGAGTGTCTGGTGATAGTGCTCTTTATTCCATGGAGGCTTCATTAGAGTTATTCACCTAGCCTACATGTATATGTATGACATATGTATGTATGTATGCATATGTATGGCATATGTATGACAAATTAGGCTTCATGTCAAGTTCTCCTTGCAAGGCACCAGTCTCATGGAACAAAACAGCTGTTTCAGTAGCCTGCAGAGTCACACAAGTGCAGCTGTATTTAAGATTCTCCTCTATGAACCAAAGTTATTTGCCATTAAACGCTCCTCTATGAGTTTGCTTTGTGAGCTGCACTGTGTTTTCCTAATTTATTGTGCCTCCATTTGATGCTGGGGTCAACAAGCAGTATAACAACCAGGTTCTTTGTGAAACCCTTTTCATAGCTTAGCTAGTCATGAACAATTTAGCTGGATGGTGGTATATCCACTGAGTACAAGAACTGTCCCTCAAACAGCCACTAGGACTTATGCCAGCACCAACAGTCTAGAACACTCTTGGGATGCCTTTATCTCAGCCGAATCCCAGGGAGTGTAATGAAAGTGCAGCCTCAGTCAGAGCAGTTTCTAAAAGTCTGTACCAGACTTTGGCTGCCACAAGCCTTAGTGAATTGTAGCAACCACTTCTACCTACACCTAAGACACAATGCTCAGATTTGGAGCAAACCCTAAGCTATCTGAATGTGACTTGTGCTGGGATAGGGGTAGACACTTTCCTCTGACTAAGAAGGCAATTAAAGTTTAGTGAGAGAAGCCCTCCTGAGCTGCCTCCCCTGGTGTTGCATTAGTGAAGATGCTTTTCTTGGGTCTTTTCCATTTTTAGGATTGTGGGCTGAGCTGGTTACGGGAAGAGTGAAGCAGTAGAGGTAGCAGAGCAGCCCTGGCAGGGATGACGGCACAGTGCTTGGTGGGCTCGGGCTGAGCTGACTACTACAGGAGAGGCAACTGAACAGTTAAGAGAGCAGCCAGGGCAGAAATGAAGGGAAAGTGAAAACAGGCTGGGAAGGTGAAGCTGATGGAGGATAAAAGACTGTAAAGAGCCAGGGAAGAGAGTGGGTGAGTTCCGGAGAGCTGTCAAGTCTGTGTGTAGCAAGGACCTGCCAACAAACAAAGAGCCCCTACAGAAACAAATA